GTGTCAGACTGTGGATGTGCACAGAATTCCCAGTTTCACTGGGTAATGGAGTAACACACCATTTATGCTGTTCTTTACTTCCCCCACTACTAGAGAAGAGCATAAATTTTACACCTAAGTTCAAGGCTCCAGAATTTAAACTAAACAAAAGCAAGCATCTGAGAGACACATTTTATGTAGGACAGAAAGAAGACTGAGATCAGAATCAGGTACCACGCTGCAATCCAGTCAGTCCTAACACATTTCCACATAAAGTGGGCCATGGAAACTGGAGAAGACCCAGTACCATAGAAAACCTTCAGGGTTATTTTGCATAGGACAATGCAAAGTCTTCACAAAGGTGAGGACTTGAGATCAGAGGAATTTGCTTATCAACTTTCACCATCACTAAAACTCATATAACTAACCTTAGAAGACTCAGATGTTATTCTGAACAACACTGCTGAACAAGCAGTTGAATAAAATCGATTACTTCCTCTAGGGATTTTTGAGATGTATGTTTCCTTAATTATTGTCAGATATGCAGGTCAACAAAAAGAAGACTGATTTCTGGATAAACACAATAACTGTAACGTTAAAATGTGGTGTGAAAAGCCAAATTGTGAATGAAAACATTTTAATGCTCATTTTAGTGAAATGATGGGAATATTCAGGAAGTGTTTGGAGTCAAGAAACTGTCGTATCCCCATCTGTTCATCAATGGCATTATGTAGCAACCTCTCCAGCCTTAATCCTCTTATCATTTATACCTTGCTGATCAGGATGCATTCCTTCTTGTCAGCAATATATTTGTATTGATTAATGTAATATAGTGGCTATGCTGTTTGCATCAGCAATGTTAGACCAAATTGATGTTAGCTGGAAAAGTCAAGTCAGTCCTATTTTTCACAGCCCAGTGGTGTCATCTCATCTACTCACTGAATCATGTTGTGCCCCAAACTGGCCCTCAGCATCCTAAATGCAAAGTAACCCTAGACCTATCCCTGTAGAGAATCAGGGAGGTGAAATAACATGTTTTAGTTGTGAAACAGGCTCACTTCTGTAATGTCAAACTACTTCCCAGCAGTGTCTAAAATAACGCAACTAACAATCATCATTTGTTGCTTCCTCTGGGAGAGAAATTTGTGTCATACAGTGCCCTGCTTTGCTAGGGAGTTTTGGTCTGGTTTGTGGTAGATGTTTTTTTCAGGCTTTTGTGAGGAAAAGTGAAATAGGTTATGTTTTTGGATTTGGAATTTCTTAGTCTTTCATGAGAGGAGATACAAGAATCAGGAAAATGTCACCCTGTCCAATAAAAGAGCAATTGATATCCGCCGCAGTGAATTATTAGGAGACATTGCACACCAGCTTCTTTCCCTCCAAGTTCTCTCCCACAAAACACTGGCTAGGAAATCTGCATTTCCAGCATCAGTCTATCAATATTAGTACATAAAATAAAGCCAGGCATCTATTCCCTACCTTGACTGGAAGCACCAAAGAGCAACAGAGCAAAGAACTAGTAAGCTACACTCAATAAGCCACTCAAATATACCTGCCCAAAGCCATTTGTTGTGCTTCATCCCTTCCCTCCTCAGTCCCTTCTGTAGCATCTCTATATATATAGATATCTCAAAGAGTCACAGTTGCACTTATTTCTTCTATGTCTTCCCATTGCTCTTTTCCAAATCTGCACTCCTACATGGGTAGAGCAACTGTTACACATCTCTCTGTGTGTGCATGTATGTGTATGTTTATATATATATATATATACACACACATACACAGGAGATGTATCTCCTACATACCCTCTCATAGACAAACGAGAGGAAGAGGAGCACTATATGAAAGCTGATGGTTTCACATGCTTTCACAAAGCATACAAATACAAAGCCCTTACATCCACACTGTGGCTATGCATGGCTTTGTACTGCACGAGTATACTTTCCAAAACAGTACAGACAGAGTTAAGGAAAACCTCTCCCTGAAGACACCAGTCTCCAGCATAAATTGCAAGCAATTCCTATAAAAACTGCTGAAATGAGAGTGGATGGTATAGGAAGTATGCATGTGTATATAGTGTATATATAACATGCATATATACTATTCATAACATATGCAAGCATGCATATGGTATACACATCTATGTTCTAGTTTGAATTTCTAGTTGTAAATGCTAGGAGAATATAAGCACAGAACAGCAAAGCTGCTCCAGAGATGAGCAAATAATGAAACAAATTCAATTCCTCACAGAATATGTTATGCAGTAAAACGTATTACCACAATATCTTGTGGCTTCTTAATTAAGTCTTAACTAATAATTCCCCACGAGTAACTTCAAAATTTTACTGCTGCTTTTTTTCAAGATGTTCATGATTTTCTATCAGGATGGCAATGAGTTACCAAAACACTCATCAATTAAGTTTTTCCCAGTGTATTTTCCCATTGTATTCCTGTCATCGTTTATGTTTAACATCAGAAATGTATTCTTAAGCAATTCCTTGCTTGCATTATCATAGATTATCATAGGTAATGCAAGCCAAGTTCCAAGGACAGTGTCAAGTATATGAAACAGGTAATGAATAGTTTGTCTAGACAAGAGATACAGACACCACTGCTCATCTTTTCTCAGTTCTGCCAGCCTCTAACAGCTTTGACAGTAAGCTTAATACCTGTAAATGCCTGCCTCTCTTACATTAAGAAAAAAAATTAGCTTTGTCTAAACAGAGAAAAAACTCAAATCCTATCAACATCTATTTAAGGATTAAATCCTCATTCTACCAATAGGTTATAATGGTTATCAAAGCCAAGGGCTATTTCACATTCTTTTCTGGCACACAGTAAGCTAAATCAGTAAGCCTCAAGTAACATTGTGCGCGTGATACTCACCTGGTGCAGCTTCTGCCAAAATTCAGGTCCATCCTCCATTTTTCTTAAGCTTGGTGGAATGTACCAGAAGCAGACATTCGCATACTCTGGCTGAAAAAAGAAAACAAGTGATTGCTTATAGGATGTAACAAATGTGAAAGGAATACATACTGTAGCTTGTAAAAGAGTTCTGCTTTATTTCTGCAGGGATGTGAAAACTTTGGGTTTATACCCTTTTCATTTAAACTTCCTTCTCCAACTCACATTTTTTCCCCTTTTTTGAAACTAGAAATAATTTTCATATCATCCATTATTCTTCCTGCTGCCAGAAAAAGGAAACCTGTTTGGGTTCCTTTTTCATTTCTTCTTCTGACATCCATATTTAACTGTTTTGCTCACTAAAAAAACCCTTTGTTTAGGAAAAGTGTGAGAGAGGCATAGAGAGGTAATTCTGTAAGACAGAATTCAAATTTGAAGCAACTTGAAGGAATACATTTTCTTTCTAGTGTTTTGGGGTTTTATTAATGGAAATTTCCTATGATGTCTTTTACACAAACTCAATTTTTGTCACAATTTAACACTTGCACACCTAGTCATTTTTCTGCTGAACAATGCCAATCTCTTTTTTTCCATGGAGCACACTATATAGTGCTGGAGTTAATGCAGACTTCCTCAATTTTCACATTTTTTAAGAATCTCAGGTCCCCTTTCAGAGTATATGCCACATCCTGGATGGGTCTTGTCCAATAGCTAAGAAGGCTTTTTTAGCAAAAACAGACTCCACATCTCTCCTTCCCTCCAGAAAAATTTTGCCTTTAAATTCAGCAGAGAGCTGCAAGGCTCCCAACTAAAGTGACTGTTCACCCTGCATGACAAAATATGTGATTTTTTGCTTATGAGATTTCTGTATCATACATGATTGAGAAAAGGTTCCCTACAGACCAGTCCAGGGTCTCTATACATTTCCTGGTAATTTGGAATGGGGTTTTTGAGGGTTATTTTAGCCTGTATAGAGAGCAATAGCTTGAGGACTAGATATGCCTTCTAATCCCATCCAACGTAACCCATAAAACCACTCAGTCAATCTTGACCTACAGTATTTGAAACATTGTATTCAATTGGGGTCTAAACTATGATATGGATTATGATAATCTGGATTATGAACTCACACACCCTCCTCCTCTCCCACATGCCATCCTCATTAGAGCCAGTCAAAAGAAAAAAGAAAAGTTAAAAGGGAGCTTGGTCGCTGAGTCACACCATCTCTGCCCCACTGTGAATGCAGCTGTTATTATAGTCCCAGGCAGTCTCCTGAATGAGGAGAGCCCACCAACTGAGACATGTTCTTTAATGAAAGGGCACTGAGAGCTGCTCATATCATTTTCCGCTTCACTTCAAAGAATGCATTAAATACAATTTAATCATCAAGAAGAATATCATTGTCAGCAGGCAACCCTGCCCCGTGCTGCCACTGAATGGGATAAAGCTCAGCTCTTAAAGTCACATTTCTTTCCCCAAAGAGCATGCATTGAGTACACATAGATTCTGAAAAGCAGAGGCTTCCTCATAGCACAGGCACTAGCTTGCTGTTACAGGGTTTATTTTAAAACTATTTAAAATCAGATGGCAGGAGTAGACAGATGGCATATATTACCATATTGCCATTGCCTTTAATGCCTTCTTGATTATCTCAGTTTCCTTTCACACATCAAATACATCATCCCCCACTGAAAATACTATTCATCCTAGAAAACTATCCCCAGCCATGCTTCACACTATTTCTGGTTATCTTGTCATAGCTCTTTTCCAAGCAGGTAAGCAATTACACCACAGAAGAGTTCAAGATGACTCAAGCACAAGTGGCATTTCCAGGCCACAGAGCAGTGCTCATACAGGTTTTTCCTCACTGCGTGTACCGGAGGATCATCTTCCTGAGCTTTTTGTCTGAAACCCAATCTTCTTTCAGGAAGGGCTCATATAACTGGGCCTAGCTGCCTCCCAGCACTCTGTCTTTGAATTCTCATTGCTTGTCCCCCTGCACACCTGAAAACTTTTTCTTAATCCTTGCTCAGCTTGCTTCTCATAGTCCATACTATAGCACTCCCTCCAATCCCACTTTTAATCCAGGTGTCCCATTCCTGCACGAACTAAACAGCAGCCTCTGCTCTCACATCTGCAACAGATCTGGACTTTCTGCTAAGCCCTACAACAACAAAAAATGGACAGCTTTTAACAGACTTGCCACTTTACTAACCCCATCATGTGCTGCTGGCCTAAAATCCTACGGTCACAGTAAAGTTTCCCAGTATGCGCTTTCAAATTGGCAGTTTTAAAAGTTAAAGGGAAAAGTTTATATTGTATGAATAGTATAAAATACTGTATTTCATCTAGCCTAACCTGAAATGCTCGCAGCAGCATTTACCCATTTCCCACCCTCCTACACGTGCTCTCTTTCTCTCGATGCTGTCTTTCATACAAGTACACTTTCAACAATGCAAAAAGTTTCTCTAAAATGACAGGTCTTTGCAACATCCCCAGATATTAGCTTTATTAACCAAAGAGCTGAGGACAGGTGGAAAAACAGCACTTTAACTCGATCCCCTTCACTCACACCAAGCAAGTTAACCAAACAGGTAATAAACTGACAGGTTTAGTAAAGATGAGTGAAACACACAACTTTTGGGTAGTTTTCAGGAAAATAGGAGTAGAAACAGAATTAAGGAAAAAAATATGGACTTTAATGATAAAAATTCCATTTTTAGGATCAAAACATATTTCCAACCAGCACACAGTCTTTATCCGTAAGTCTGGCAATCACTGCTTTTTTGCAGCCAGCCTCTTCACTTTCACAGGAAAGTGCTCCATCTATACCCCCTGAGGCAATACAGGGCCAGAAGCTAGGGAAATCAGTAAAGTGATGGTAGGGAATACAGAGCACATTATATGTGTTCAGACATACCTTATTAAATTATAAGCTTTAAATACAAATTGGTAATTGACTAAAGAACAAAAGGAAACAATAGACATCAATAACAACAACAGTTCAGTTCCATTTCCACTTACCTCCAAAAGAAGCCGGAATCCTTCTCTTTTTTTAATCTCCTCCACTAAATATCTGTAATTAAAAATGAAGAGTTTTAAAGCATAGAACAAAACAGTACAAACAAATAACAACAAAAAAGGTCTTGAACATTTATTTTCATCCTAAAGAAACCACAGAGTTAAACCTCATTTGTACCTGCTGTGAAAATGCAATAGCTATCACTTCCTGGAAGACACAAATGAACGCTACAGCCAGCCAAAGAACACTGAGGAGAAGCCAAATTCTGTCCTCAGGCACAGATTTTCAGTGAAGCCACATGGCACAAATTGATCCTATTTGCATCAGGTTGTGAACTTTCCCAATGCAAATTTCCATTGATGTTGCTCTTTACGAATGAATCCCTCCATCTCTTGTTCTCAAGTGCTGATACTGTGCTGCCATATTATTTCATAGTCACCCTGACACCTCTTGCATTACTACTGTCACTGGAACCTTAGTTTAGCCCAGAATTTAAAACTTTGCACATACTATACTCCAAGCTCAGCAGTTTTCCCAGGACAGCCCTTGTTCCACACTGCACACAACAGTGCAGTGAGCTACTGCTTATACACAACAAGCCCTGGACATCCTGTGCTAACAATGTATTGAAATGAGTATTTCTCTTCTCTTTCACCTGTCAAGCAGGAAAACCCCAGAAGCCTTCAGTGGGTAGATGGGTTTGAATCAAAACTTTGGATACAAACAGCTTCAATTTATAGAAATTTTTTAAAACATGACCTCAACTTTGCCATAGCACACATCACACAAAAATTCTGAAGCAAAGAGAACATTTTGACATAGCCCGGACTTCTCTTTATTCTCCTCACCTCAAAGCCTTCCAAAGAAAAACTCTGAAGAATTCACCTCAAATTCACACAACTCTTCCATTTCAATGGAATTTTAGTCTTCTACATGAAGATTTTGCTGCCTAACAGTAATAAAACTGACATAGTTAAACTACTGATTGTCCACAAATCTGTGGTTCTGTTACATTTAGTATTTAGCATTTTCCTGCCTGCAGCTGCATTACTGGTCATCACACAAGTAACTCTTTTATCCACTACTTGAGGAAGAATATTGTCAAAATAATCTCCCTTCGTCCTATCCACATGCCTGAAACTTGCCCCCACAGGGACACCTCTAGCACAGTGGTATCTGCAGTGCCTACTATTCAGCAGACGTGCTGCAGAAGCAGGTTGGCTAGGGAAGAAGCAATAAACAATACCCAAATGGCATATATTTTTCAAAACAGCACATAGGGAATTGTCATGCTGTTTATCATTAACAAGTACTGTGCCTGTGACTCATTACCTCTTAGCACACATCCCTGCAAAACGATCACTGTGGTGCAGTGCCAGTTCCCACAATACACAGCTCTAAGAGTTGTGCTGTGCACTGTTGAGATGTTTTCTCTCACTGTAACAAGTCAAGGTTCTGGGTCTTTTCTGCCATGACCATTTAGATCCTACTGTGTGCATTTGTTTGCTATCTGGCTATTAATGCCCACACGACTGTTTAGAGCCTGAAAGGGAGGCATGATGATAAGCAGCAGGGTATATATCACATGAGCATATTGGGGGGAACCTGTTTCTGTAGGGCAATTGTGTTAGGTAAAACAAGCTCAGTACTTTTGTCCTGTTTATCAGATGGCACTTGTCTGTGCCATAAAACCAATATTCAGCAACATCAGCAAGCTACTCAAAGTGAGTGGCTCTCAATTTATTTTTTCTGTAATAAATCATGAAAAAGAGACCTATGCATGATTTATTTCTTTTTTTAGGTCTTGAATTGTTAGAGCTATTTCACAATGCTTAATACCTTTCCCTCTTGCCACGAGTGCCTTTTTTTTATGCCATCATCTGACATAGGCTATCTGATGTCAGTCAAGTTCACAACACTGTTAATCACATTCTTAACTACACTGCCAATAGCCTAAGAAGGCAGCCATTAGAAAATCCATTGCCCATGATTTATCTTGCCAGGATCATTTGATGGCAGTGAAGCAATTTACTCTGTGCATCTTTCCACAGTTGACAGTGGAGTTTTATTATTGTGTCACAGCTGTAGAATGTCAGAAGGGCTTGAGTCTTAGTGAGGACTGAAGTACACAGTGGCATTTGCTATGATTAAGCCTTGCAGAAAATGAGGGGTGGAGATCTGCAGTGAAAGTAGACATATGTCTGCTAAGAGTGGGTGTCAGAAGAGTAAACAGGCAGAAAAACTGCAAAGAAGCTGAAGCATAAAATGCAGAGGTGGTTATAGTTGTATCCTAAAAGCAGTTTTCTTCTATTTTTTTTCAGGTGTACTTCATAAAACAACATCCCTGCATCAAAAATAAATGCAGGGGGGAAGAAAAATAATCCTGAAGCAATCAGCTGGATGCTCTACTCTAGGTATTTTAAAGGTAAGCCTTTCCAAATAGCATCACTATGTTCCTGGGATATTTAATACCCTGAAAGCATGATTCATCTCCAGAACAAGAAGAAATTAATGGAATAGCCAATAAGGAAAACCTGCTGCACCAGAAATACATGGCTCTAATTACCCTAAAGCTATTGCAGCTCTGCTTGGCTACAGGAAAAAAAACCAAAAAGCAATCTTGCTCTTAGCTTCTGTAGTCAATGGACTAGTTCCAGAATTAATCCAAGTCTGTGTTCAGGAACACTGAAATGCCACCTTTGCAACACTGAAGTAACAACTACTGCAAGAAATCAGGAGAAAAGCTGCACAGCTGTTGAGTAGTTAGGAAACCTGGCACACTACTCAAGTCCATGCAAACTCAAGATAGCAATGTCACTACTGTAAAGAATCTATTTCCTCACAAAAAAATTAAATTTCTTCTTAAAGGGAAAAAAACAAACAAACCAACAAAAAGACAACCAAAAACCAGGAGACAAGTCAGTCACTCCTTAGAAGTGTTACCAACTGAATCCTAACATTAAACAGAAATATCGATCCCAGAAAGGTCATTAATCACTACACAGTCAGTCAAACAACCTTGGCCAGTGACCTTGATAAGGCTGAATTCTCCTAGTGATAGTGGAATGAATTACTTACTCTGTACAAAGAACAGTACAATGCTTTAGAAAAAAAACAAGGTGCAATTTAACCAGAAGATATTCAGAAACACATAACCAGTCAAACAATAAGCAGCTTTAAAGAAGTAAAACAGAGAAAAAAGTCACAGCTCATTTGGGCTTTTCTGGTTTTACTTCTTTTTATTCCTTTCAAATCCACTCTGGGTTTCATTCAGGGGTATTTTTACCTATTCTTTAAGTACCTTCATTAGACTGAGGCTATTCATTTAATTTCCACTGGAGTAAACATTCAATTCTTTTCAACTTGGTAGTTCATGTAAAAAATAAAATGTCAATATCAATTATTTGACATTTGGCAGTGTGTAGCTAGTATGGTGAAGTTTTCGTTGTGGTTCATCTTGTATAAATTCTGAACAAACATGATACTTAAAGTGAACCCTTTTTAATGGGCCATTATCTTATTTCAAAATTATTTCTACTATGAGAAGTGAAAACAACCCAAGTATGGAATTTTCTTCTTAAAAACCAAGACGACATCATTATTTTATAAACATCTTCTAGCAAGTATTTTGCTGAATACACTTAAGTTCTGCAAGACCAAAAACTTAGTGACATTGAAGAGGACATGCATGAGGAAGATTACAAGAAGAAGGTGTTTCAGTCCTTAACAGAACATACTATAAGCCTTAAGAACTTCAGCAAACTTCTGGAGAAAAACCAAGTATTATGTCAGAACAGTATGCCTCCTACCCCTCTACTACATCCTAACATTAACAGTGTCCTCATACAAATTTCCCTGTATCAGCCATCGGCTTTCCGCATTTCCCCAATCAATACAGAACAAAGCGAACAGGAGAAAGGCTGATTCATGTCTTGCTAGATACAGCTCAGATCCTGGTGTATAGGGCTGCTTTTACATTGACACCAGAACACACAGTTGAATTAGAAGGTGTATTGGCAAATCTGTCCTATGTCTGGTTCAGATAACATAAATGTTCAACAATAGAGATTGATAGTCTAATTTCAACCAGTATCTATGCTTATTGCTAAAAGCAATGTTTACTATTAAATATTGTAGCAAATGTAATAACATTAATTATTATGGCTATGAGTTCCTCCTATTATACACTAGTGAAAGGAGAAGGGGGGAAAAAAGCAACAGTGTGGTCTGTTCCAAGAAATGAAACATCAGAAGTGTCAACATTTCATCCAATTAAACAGAGCAGACATTTTTAAAATTGTAAGCTGGTACCTAGCCAATGCCAGTGCCCTGTTTACTCTCTCCTCAAGCCCTGTTGTTCCTAATGCTTTCCACATCAGCCAGAATTTGAATGCATCCGGACGTCTGCTGCACTGAATGGACTTGTCACCGGTGTCATAGCTGACATCATAGAACTTGTCCTGCTGGAACAGGTATGCAGCCTCAGCAGAGTAACATTTCTTCAGGATGCCCTGTTAGAAACACAACAGAGATATAGATTGCTAAAAAGCATTTTCAAACCTCTTCACAAGCTAAAGCATTTTTTTTTCCTGTCTATACCAACTGCTCATTAAAACAGATCTGGATGTGCGGGAAACTATCCAAAGCCTATCGTGTGGTTTAAGAGCCATGGATGGACCTGAACCCAGTGAAGTCAGCACTAACAACAAGGAAATATTTTTATTATTATCATTTTCTTCATGATGTCACTGTTGAGTGGCAGGTTGAAGAGGAATTTTGACTTGGATCTCAAGAAATCATGGGAGCGGTACCATAGAAACGGTTGCCCAAAGACACATACGGGTGGGAAAGAGGGAGAAGGAGACACCTATGTCCACTGCTTCAGTGTTTAGATTGAAAGAATGGCCCCTGAAGAACTTCCTACATGTTCACAAATGGCTCAATCTATTCCTTCTTTGATTAGTTGCAGGTAGGGAAGATTATAGCCCCAAGAAATAAATGTTTAGCCCTTACCAGAAAATAGTCACTGTGGATTTAGCATAGGCTATCTGACTGTTTGAGCAGAAACACCACAAGAAGATTACTACAACCCCAATTTTCACAGTTCAGAAAAATTTAATATTTTAAAATAAACCCAAGACAAGATACTTTCACATACCATAACCATGGTTTGTTAATAAAATTTATGGGGTTTTCAGCAATCTCCAGGCTCAACCTCTGAGAGGCTGCCTGGGCAGAGATGAGCAGCAGAAAGCAGACAAAGATTAATGAGTAATGTGGCAAGTTCCAGCAAAGAACAGGCTGGAAAACAGAAAGCACAGAGGCTGTTAGAGGTTTAAAAGTGCAGAGGAAGAGAAGAGGCATAGGACTGGCCATTGGCTGAAGAGTGAAATATCAAAATACTCTGTAATGCTACTAAGTAGACAGAAGGGCTGGCAGAAAGCAGGTTACAAAAGCAGAGAGTGGCCCTACAAGGAGGCCAGGAGACAGAAAAGGTTGTAGATTTGTCAGGGATATTAAAAGTGGGTTAAGAAAAACAAGCCACAGTCTATAAGAAAACACTATAATAGAAATTCACATGAGTTTAAAAGCATGGCTACCTACATCTGCAAACTTGTATTTAAGTGACAGTTAAACCAGAGGTCTTCCATGCAGAACAGACAAGGAACAGAAGTGGACAGCATGACAGAAGTTGCTAAACAGAAAAACAAAACTCATTTCCCAATTCAACTTCATTCTTCAAATTGAACCAACTGAGAAAGCATTTCACATTTCATCCTTTTCTCTGCATCTGCTGCAAGTTAGAATTTGAAATGGCAGGCAGCACCTGACATCACTCTTAATCAAAGTGTCATATTCCCATAACAGAGATACCATTCTTGATCTACATTATAATACACTACTAATAACTTTGGAACTGGCAATAAAATGCAGAAAAAAAAAAAGGTCAAGACAAAAAACAACCCCAAAAGATAATTAATTCACTGGCATACACAGAATAACTCTGCCTCTCTCCTATACTTTTCAATTCCCTCCATCCTAAAAGTGCACTGCATCCTAAAAGCAAAACAAAAAAACCCACCTACACACCTATTTGTAGAGCACAAAAGGAGAACGTCACCAAAGGTTTCTCCACAGCTTCTGCAGGGGTTTGACAATCCCACTGCAATACTGCTGTTTTGTTAAAAGTACAACAAACTGGGTCTGAACTCTTTGGGCACAGTACCATCACATTTAGCCTTGAGCAGAGAGTTTTTCTGACAGCTTGGGGGAAAAAGGAGGAGCAGCTTCTGCTCTCCCTCTGCAGTCATCAGAGTGATAATGTGCTGCTGCAGCACTGAGTAGCCATAGCTGGAAAGCCAATGCTTTGCAGTATGTAAGATTCTCACAACTACTTTCCAATTTTCTCAGAAAAAGAAAGGCAAGAAAGTGACCTTAGAAAACCAAAGAACAGTCAAATGCTGAAGCATCCATACTTCACAGGTTTTTTACAGCTTTGTGTTCTCTGGCTAGCTGCTGCACAACAGGAACAGAAGTCATTCTGTCAAGCCATTGTGCCATACTCATTTAGATCTCCATACCTTGATTTTCAGGGGAAAACCAAGTTTATTAGTCATAGTCTTAAAACAAAAAATAAAAGAGGCAGCAACATCCACAAATTTAAGTTCATTGCTTTATCTCTTGCTGACTTAAAATTTTGCATAGTGTTTCTGCAGTGAGTGTATAGCAGAGGTTGATCAACATGAGACTATCTTCTGCCTTATCAGAATGCAATGCAGCTGCACAGCAGAGGACATCACAGAACATTAGTTCCCTTCATGCCTGTCATCTGAGAAATAATAACCTTTGTTTGCCACAAGAAACCTAAACTCAGTTGGTAATACTACAGAAAGATTGAGAAGTTCACTTAAGATCACAGTACAGCTGCAGAGTTTCATAGTTTAAAAACAAATGCTCTAGAGTGAAAATGCAACAAGAACAAAGAGTTCAATTAGCTCTGAGCGAGCTCAAATTCCTGAGAACATATTTCATTGAAAAAAATAAATAAAAGCAGGTACTGTCCTACTCGCCTGGTACACCTGAAGCTGACAAGACATGCTGGCTTGATGATCCTTTCCCATCTGCTTATCTTACTAATCATGCAACATACTGAAGAAATCCT